TGTAATTTCTCTAAGGGCAATTGGATCATAAAACTAATTTTATAATCCCATATAATTCTCAAAGGATATTATCCTTATTTTTTCTTAATTTTTCAAGACTTGGAAATATTTTTCCATAATTATTTTTGACCAATTTTCCTTAATTAGTCAAACTTTTCATAATCAACTTGGAAAATTATAAAAATTATTTTTCACCATAAATCTTCTATTCCTCCTTATCCTTTTTGGCCCTTGAATGCTTAGGAATATCCTTATTACTAATTGCCATATTACTGGATGTGCCAATTTTACTATTTATGGTGGTTCATTTGATGATTGCCTTATTAGTCTTGAAAAGGTTTTGTAAAGATGCATTGAAAAGAATTTGATTTTAAACTTTGAAAAGTGTTATTTCATAGTCAATGAAGGAATACTGCTAGGTCATTCGATTTCTAGTAAAGGAATTAAAGTTGATAAAGCTAAGATTAAGGTCATATCTTCTTTGCCTTATCCTGTTTGTGTTAAAGATATAAGATCAATTTTGGGTCATGTAGGATTTTATAGGCAGTTTATAAAAGACTTTAGCAAGATTGCATAACCTCTTTCAAAGCTTTTACAAAAAGATGTGAAGTTTGATTTTGATGATTATTGTAGAGTTGCTTTTGATGAATTGAAATCTAAACTCATTTCTCCTCATATTCTAATTGCCCGTAATTGAAGTTTACCTTTTGAGCTATCATGTGATGCTTGTAATTTTGCTGTAGGAGCTATGTCGGGCCAAAAGGAAGAGAAGCTCTCAAGAGTCATTGCCTATTCTTTGAAAACATTAGATCTAGCTCAGATCAACTACACAATAACAGAGAAAGAGCTGTTTGCAATTGTTTTCGCTATAAAAAAGTTTAGGCCTTATTTGTTGAATTCTCATGTTACTGTTTTCACTGATCATGCATGTCACACCTTCATTTTAAACCCCATTATACGTCCTTTAGAACTATTTGGAATCGTTACACGATGCTCAAAGTAGGTAAAAACCAAGATTTAAAATTTTGATTTCGGTTACTATTCATGTAACCCTTAAAAATCAGGTCAACTTTGAAAAATCATAACTAAATCTAGAAAAATCAAAATAGAGTGGTTCCAAGTCTCACGCGAAGCTTATGGAATGCTCTACATAGGAAAAATGTTCACAGGTATCAATTTCTCACAGATCAATGCTAGTTTCCACGCAATTATGTCCTGTTCATTTGGAAAATTTTGAAATTCCCAGTATTTTTATCCAACTTTGAAAGGGCATAACTCTTTCTACAAAATTCCAAATTTAATGATCTACTACTTGATTTAAAGCTAAAAATATAATATATTAGTCTGCCAAATTTTAAATCCATATTTGAACATTTGCTATTTATTTTGTATGCACCAAGTTTGGTCCTATTTAGTCAAATGTTATCCCCTAATTACCTTTGTAATGACTCTTTCATAACCTTTTACCCATCCTTAATTATTTGAGGCTTAATAGAAGCTTGAACATACATTCTACTAGGCTTTCACATGTTTAAACATAGACATACATGCTTGGCTCCCCTTAGGAGCTATTATCCAACAAACATTTCCAAAGTCATAATATTACATAACAAGTTCCAAAAATTTACACTAGGGTACATTAATTGTTCATTAGGTCTCCGGGACAATTGCTTTGCCTTTGCCCTTGCTTGAACTCCCTCCTAAGTGGTGTTAAACATAAGAGTGAGATTTCAAAGAAATCCCAATAGCATAGAATCACAATTATCATGCATTCCTGCAAACACTACGTGCAATGCTTTTGTGCAGATATCTTGTTCATATGTTCATGCTTTTATGCCATGGAAAGTAAGCTATCATACGCATATTCAATGGACATAATGCCAAGGCAACATAATTCAAACATTGCAATCAACATTTGCAATAAAGCTTAGTCACATCATGGCATACATTGCACACATTCACATTAACACATCAATGTAAGCAAGAAAACAATCAAAGTGTAATTCAATGCTACCTTTTGGTACTTGGTCCTTGATTTCCTTTAAGTTCAAGATGTTTTCTTGAGGATTTGGCAAGGTACCTATCAAACCAACACCAATGCCAATCATTCCACAATTATTCAAACACATTCCCTATTACTTAAACATTAAACCCTTCTTTCTTGGGATTTTTGGCCTAATTCGTTTTCCTTTTGATTCAAGAACCCTCCTTAGCCATTCCTACATGGTTTTTCATGTAGAATTTAAATATCAAATCAAATTTTACAAAATCAAATCCCTTCCTTAAGTTATGGTCAAAACAGAAACGAATTTTCCAAGGAAAAATGTCAAAATTTCCAACTTTGATTTTTAATGCTTCCAAATTCAATTCCTCCATATAACCCTACACAAAAACGCCCAAGGAGTTCAATGGAAGCATCAAAACCATCAAAATCCAATCATAATTCCATATATTCAAGATGGCAAAACACTTCCTCTTAGCTTTATAAATTTTCATATTTGATTCCAATGAATTTAAACACACTTCCTTAGCATAATCCTACATACCATCACATTTTAAATCCATTGGGACCATTAAAACTTATTGAAACAATTCCTACCCTTGAGTTCTTGAGTTGGCTGAACTGAAAAGTCATAGTTCATAGGGTAATTTCTTCCATAACCCATTCAAAACCGCACCAAACATCAACAACACAACTCATACTCAATTTCCTATCCTTTCCTAGCACTTCCAGCACAACAGAAATGAAATAGCACTTCCCCCTCAAATTAAGTCACAGTTTAACCATGGAAAAAGCATCAAATTAAAGCCTAAACATACCTCAAGGAGTCTTGGATTAAAGCTTGATGATTAACCTTGGATTGGAGGTGATTTGAGGAGTGTTTGGAAGCCAAGAAGAAAATTGTGCAGAACCTCCCCTCTATTGTCCCAATTCTGTCCGAATTTTGAGTGCCTTGTGGAGGTATTTATAGAGCTCATTTACTGCCCAAAAACCTGCCCTTGGGCAGCTATTTCTGCCCCAAAATAAGTGCAAAGGTCGGCCAAAATGAAGAACAAATCCTAGCCACACATGCTTTGACTCACTTTCCAAGAGAGTTGATCCAATGGTTGAAAATTTGCCCAGCACACAAGCCAGCTGTTCTGATCATGGTGAGCACGAATTTGGGCCTTGTTGGATGCTAACTAAATGGTAAAAACTGGTTAGGAAGCAATGGAATTAGTTAGGGTAATTTAAAAATTCATTCGGACACATAATACCCGATTTCTTGCCCTCTACTAGGAAAAATAGCTAGGGGCTTCAAAAATTCCATTTCTTTTCATGATAATTCCTTATTTATTCCAAGAGTGTGATCTGGAAGTTTTGGGAATTTTTCAAGACCTCTAGATATTTATTTCACATTTTCTCCGAAATCGGGTCCTTCCCGATAGGAATTCGGAAATAAATTCCCCATAAAGTATTTCCTGTATTTCCAATACTTGAAAACAATTTTATAAATTCATGTATATTCCTAGGAGTGTATCCATATTTTTCCTTGGATTTTTGGAGTCCTTAGGTAATTAAAATAATTTTATCACTTTAATTTCCCTTTATTTTTCCCTATTTTCCCAAAAATAATTAATTTTTTGGGAATTTTCAACAAAAATTATTTTGGGCTATTCTCACTCCCAAAACATCATGTGTGACTCAAAAAGCTCTAATTCCATTTTTTTCTATTTTTAAGTAATTTTTGGAAACTTTTTCCAAAATTACCGTTTTGCCCCTAGGGACCCGATAAAGTCGATTTCGTCCCATTTTGGGTTTTCATGCTTTACTCATACCTTATGCTTATCAATCATATCTCATTTTGCACACTCCCATTACGAGGGTTCTAAATTTTGGGATGTTACAATGCAGTTGTTCACTATCTTCTCAAGAAACCGTAATCTAAACTAAGATTGATAAGGTGGGCCTTGTTTCTTCAGGAATTTGATATTGAGATAAAGGATAGACCTGGGACAGTGAATTATGTAGCCGATCACTTGAGTAGGCTACCGGAGGATACATGGGGAGTAGATTCTTCTAAACTTACTTGTGATTCTTTTCCTAATTCAGGTTTATGTGCACTAGCTTTTAAAGAGCCTTGGTATGTGCATATTGTCAATTATCTCATGACTAGACTCATCCCTCCCTTTATGTCTAAACCTCAGGCACAAAGCTTCAAAGCAATCTAGGCACTACATATTGGATACCTCTCATCTATGGCAGTTGTGTAGTGACCAAGTCAATAGGAAGTGTGTGCCTAGTGAAGAATTTGAGTCTATTATCTCAACTTGCCATTCCATGGTTTGTGGTGGTCATTTCAGTGCATGGAGAACATCTAGGAAAATTCTAGATTCTGGTTTTTATTGGCTAACCCTTTTTAAAGACTCTTTTACATTTTGTTAGTCCTGTGTCAAATGTCAATGTTTTGGAGGGTTAGGAAAAAGGCATGAAATGCCTCAACAGCCTTTACTGTTTTGTTAAATCTTTGACGTTTAGGGTATGGATTTCATGGGAACCTTTCATCCATCCTTTGGTTTTATATATTCTTTTAGTTGTAGATTATGTGTCCAAATGGATAAAGGCTATACCTACCAGAAAAGATGATGCCCAAGCCGTGTCTAAATTTCTTAAGTCCAACATTTTTTGTACGTTTGGGATCCCTAAGGCTGTGGTGAGTGATAGGGGCTACAATAGGATTGTCAATAACCTGTTTTCAAAATTTGGTGTCACTCATAAGGTCTCCACTACTTATCACCCCCAAACCAATGGTCAAGATGAAATATCCAATAAGGAAGTAAAGCAAATACTAGAGAAGATAGTGAAGCCATCTAAGAAAAACTAGAGCTTACGTCTAGAGGAAGCACTGTAGGCTTACCGGACTGCCTACAAGTCACCAATTAGAATGTCTCCTTACTACTGAGTCTTTGGCAAAGCTTGCCACCTGCCGGTGGAGTTGGAGTATAAAGCATAGTGCAACATGGACTTAGAGTCTTCTGGAATAGAGAGAAAGCTGCAATTGCAAGAGTTAGAGGAGTTGAGGCTAGAGGCTTATGAGAACTCTCAACTCTACAAGGAGAAAACAAAGTTTGTGCATGACAGAGGACTTTTAAGAAAGCACTTTGAAGAGGGAGACAGAGTACTGCTGTATAAGGCTCATTTCACCTTCAAGCAAGGGAAATTCAACACCCACTGGGATGGCCCATATATAGTCATGAAGGTGCACAACTTTGGCATAGTGGAGCTTTTAGATGAAGAGATTGGAACCAGGCTTAAAGCCAATGGTCATCTATTGAAGCTCCATATAAGAATCAAAAACCTCCTTAACTCTTAAGTTGTTTCTTTCCTTCACTTGTTTACTTACTTTTGCCCTGTTATTGCTCGTGATATGTTTTGGTGTAATGGTATGTTGAATAAGTATGGGGGAGAAACTTCTTCAATAGAAAAGTAGCTTAGTTTTAGTTTAGCTAGTAGTTTTCAATTCAATAATATCTCCTTTTTAGTTCTGTCTCTTGCTTTTCTCCTGCTATGCTTAATTGCCATTGTGATTGAAACTGATGAATGATATAACTTCAAGTATGGAGAAAGATTGCTACTTTTGATTGTGTTTTGCTTCGTTATCTTGTGCTTAATTGCCACCTTATGATCTTGTTATATGCATTCAAGAGTTTCCTAAGTATCCAGCTTGTCTCCTGTGTTTGTGTGTCTTGGGATACTTTCGCTATGGCAAACTCTTAGCTTCACCTCGACGAAGTCTGCCCGTGTCTATATGTTGCTCTTGGGACACTTTCGCCATGGCGAAGATCTACCTTTGTCACGGCCAAGTCCCTGAGCCATGGCTATTTTCTTCTCAGGATACTTTCATCTTAGCGAAGTTCCCTACCTGTCCATCCTTTCCTCTCGAGAAGCATTCATCACGATGAACATAAACCTTCACCGCAATGAAGAGTTAGAATCTGCGCAAGCTCCTTCTCTTTTAACCTTATTTTTAATTATCAAAGTACCATTTTGCCCTTCTTATTAGATTACCCATTCCTATTCTCAAACTCCATTTCTGTCTTTTCACTCCCCCACTACCCTTAACCATCTGTATTCTCCACATTCATTTCCCATATTATGAAACCGTCACCCCTTGCTTTTCTTTTCACATTCTTCTTCTTCTTAGCCCTCTCCCATATTCGGCCACCACTCCTCTCCAGTTACCTTGCTGCCTGCCATTATCTCCACAGTTATCCATTGTCCCTGTATTGCATTCCATCCCCTTTGCCTTACGTGTCTCTCTCTACACAAGTCTTCTCCCTTTTGCTGTAAGTTTTTCTCTTTCTCTTCTTTCTTCTGTTATTTGATTCTATTTTTTTTGTCTTTGTTTGGGAGTAGTTTAATTTTGTGTTTGGTTCCTCTGTTTAGTTTTTTAGGTTGGGTTGTTTTTGTTTCAGTTTTAGGTTACATAAGTGTTAGGTTATCCAATGATTCATAGTGCATTTGGCATTTTTCCTTCCAATTGAGAAACTTCTTGTCACTTGAAAGCCATTGAATCATTAAGTAATGGCTATTAGTTGCTTAGGTTGTTAGATTTGGTTTTTCTAGGGTAGTTATTGTTGTTGTTCTGCCTGTGTGTGTTTAGATGGTTCTGGTGTGTGCTGTATTACAGGGAAATGCCCCGTACTAAGAACCCTACACCTCTTTCTGAATCTGATTCAAGGGATGAGTATACCTTTGAAGAGCTATATGAAAAAATTGACTAGAGACCTCTCTTTAAGGAGCGACCCTTCCCCTTAGGCCCCCCAGACAACCCTTTTATTTGCCAACTTCAGGCATCCTAATTAACTGGTTTGGTTTGGCAGGGCTCTATGAGCAATGACGCCTTTGTCCACTATTTCTATACTTATGCCCGATTTAATAGCTCTATGACCATTGACTTTTGTAACATTCATGTCTGCCATTCCTTTATTACTAACAACATCTATTACCACTTTGGCCTACCACCCTATCGCTATTGCCATTATGAGAATACAAACATCCCTTTTAGGATGTTGTTCAAACCCTCTGCCATGAAGGTATGATTTGGCATCGACCCTGCCACGTAGAACTCTATCTCAAGCTATCCGAATTCCAGCCTGAGGCTTGTCCCTAGCTACACTTAGTTTGCAATAACATCCTACTGACCACCTACCTAGCTAATGTCCCTAAGTGCCAAGCCTTATACATCTACCTCCTTATGACTAGCTAATCATTCGATTTAGCTAACACTATTTACTCAACCCTTCATGATGCCATAAACACTCTTAAACTCACCAACAACATCCTTTTCCCACACCTAATCACTAACCTCTTCCATGTTGCCAATGTCCCTGAATATGACAATGATAGCTACTTTGAGCCAGCCCTGTTCTTTAAATATGAGCGCCTCAAATAGCCCGTCATTGGCCCACCCCTTCCTATCCAGCCTATTTATGATGTTGGTGCAACCCCTGCTACTACTGTACAAGGCCAGAAAGGCCAGGAAGCCCCTAAACCTATTACTTTAGACACCCTAGCTGATGATATTGATAGACTTGTTGAGGATGTCCACCAGCTGCGCGTCATACTTCTCCGAGAAATAAAGTGTCAGAAGGAATGAGACGCCCTCTATGATAGAGACCGGTACTAGCACCACATTTGAATGCCTTGATTGCTGACTGCCTAAACTTCCAACTTCACTTTGATGAGGATGAGCCACAGAACGGAGCTGGGACGTCCATGGCTGGCACTTATAAAGTAGGACCATCTAGGTCTGGGGCTGATGACCTTGTTATGCAGCTTCAGTTTTCTTTCTGTTTGTTATTACTGTTGGTTGTTTCTGCCTTTATGTTTTAAGTCAGAGTCCACTGGATATTCAATTAAACTTTTCTATTGTTGTTTACCTTAGTTTGTACTGGCTTGTTATGGATGTTATGACTTAATTGCATGACTACTATTAGCCTCTTTGCTTTGCTGTTATCTTTGTGTTTACATCAGCTTTATCGTACTTATCCTCTCTGTTTTACCTGAAATTAATCACTCCTTTCTCTCCCTTTTATGAATTCGACGTGTTGTGCTTTAATTCAAATTGGACTTTATAACTTTTGGTTTACTTTGTGATTAGTTTGTGCTTTTGCATGTTTCAGTATTGAGGACAATGTTTTGTTTAAGTGTGGGGGAGGGACTTCTATTTTGGATTTTAGTAAAAGCTATCTGACGCATCAATTTTGGCCACTTAAGTGTTTTTGAACAGGTCATTTGTGTGTATCTCTGAAGTTTTAACTTAGCTTTGAGAGGAATTTGAAATTGCATTGTATTTTGTCACTTTTTCCACAACATTGTCTACCTTCACCATGGCTATCTTGTGGTTTAGCTGTGGCGAAGTGCCCAAGATTTCATAGTTTTGCTTCTCGGCCATACTTTCCTGCAGCCAACTTCTAGTTTTTCCGCGGCGAAGCAAGCCTTGTTTCTAGGTTTTTCCTCTCGATCTCCTTTTGTCGCGGCACACTTCAGGTTTCGTCGCGATGAAGTCGTTACAGATGCATTAAAAAAATTAAAAAAAATTTCAACTTATTTTTTGCTTTGCAATTTCACTGTTTTAATTCCCTCATTTCAAAATTCTTCTAATTTAGATTCTTAATACTCCTGTGTTGTTAGAATTTTTGAAAGATTTAAAGTTTTACATGAGCTTTTAGAAAACCATCCATGTTTTTAAATAATAGTTGATTTTAGCTAATCTCATCTTCATTGCTTTCAACAAGAAGCAAGTGAGGGTACGCCTTGAAAGTAGCACTATGCATTTTTAAACCTTGAGATTAACGAATCGAGATGTTAACCTTATTGGAAGGATTTTTGGGCCTGAATTCATTTGTTTGTGTGTGTCTGCTTAATTTCACATCGCTCTAGAACATGTTTTAATTCTTAATCAAGGCTTGATGGACTAATATTTTATAAAAATGATAGAGGCATTCATTTCTAAACCCTTCTTACCCAAACACTTATCCATTGTCAACCCTTTTGGACCATCTTTTTTAGTACATGCACGCTTTTATAAATTGATATAAGCATTTTATCTTTAGTCATAAAAAAAATGGTAAGAAGAAAAGAAAAGAAATAGAAAAAGGCAAAGAAATAGAAGAAAATGTTGCAAAAAAGCCAGAGAAAGAAAATAAATAGTGAAAAAATTATTTTGAAATAGAAATAAATAGTAAAAAGGGATGTGGTATCTTGAAAATTTTAAATCCCTTGTTTCATGAAAAGAATAATTGTGATGCTTTGTACTTAGTTTTTTTCTCTATTTTTTTAAATCCCATCAATTGCACTTGGCCTTCATTGACTATTACAACCTTCTAAGTCCTCTGGATTTGTAATTTATGGTTCTTGTAGTGGAGAGGTAGAATTATCACAAGCTTATGGCAGACAATGAACTAAACAGATTTTAGAGTAAAATTATCCAAAGACAAGCGAGTTGAGAACTGGAAACATACCCTTAAGACAATCTCTTTTGCTTAATCTCTTGGTTTAAACACTTATAGTGTTTGTTTTCTTAGCGCTTCTTCGTTCTACTCTGGTTGATTTCTGAGAAGGTGGTTTTACTAACTATCTACTCTCATTTTTAAGCATGACCGGTATTTCCTTTTGTACTTGTACCTCTTTGAATATTTTACAGGCTTTATCCAAGAGTACAAATGTCTAGGTATGGGGAAATTTGATTAAGCACAAATTGTCTATATTATTTGATAGTATTTTTAAGGTTTTTGTGATACTTTTTGGCTCATTTTGGTGATATTCGTGCTTAATTAAGATTGAGAGTCTTTGTTTTACATTAATGCAGTTTGAGGATAAAATTGTCATAATTAGTCATTAATTGCATTCAATTGATTTCTAGACAATTGATACTTTAAACCATTACTCTTAATTGTAGGACACTCAAAAAGTAGAGCTAAGAGTGAAGACCAAGAGATGGTAGCACATAAAATCAATAGAAGCAGCACTGTAATAGTTTGTCGTGACAAAGATAATGGTTCGTTGTGGTGAAAAATCATAAATTCATCAGAAACCTCTTGGCCATACTTCACCGCGGCCACATACTACCTTTGCTGTGGCGAAGTCACAAAAGCACGCAATCTAGCTCTCGAGAATGGCTTACCACAGTGAAATCATTCTTTCACCATGGTGAACTCTTTGAATCAGCAACCCAGATTTGAACCCTTTCTGAAAAATTCACTTACCCACTCGTAAGAACCGACTGAATACACCTCATTACTGAATTAGAAGCCCTATTTTGGGAAAGATATGTCATTCATTTATACACACAGCCTCCATCTCTCATTC